CAGTGAGAGGAAAAGAGAGAAATCACCCCCAGGGGAATGGCCACACCTCGTCCCTTCTCCATTCTCTTCCTGGGATTTTGGGCAAACCCACATATACACTTGGTATGATCATCAAGTCACTGGTTCTGGGACTTGAACCACAGTCAGCTGTGTGGGTGTCCAGCAGTGTACCCACTACACCATCTGTTCACCTCCCCAATGTGCTTTTAAATAACTGATTTATTGAAGCGAGGGTGTTAGATGGTTCTTACGAGAACAGCAGCACAGCCCTGCAGGGGTTTAGTGAATAGTGTCTGCGTTGTAGACACTGAAAGACGTCATATCAGAGTGGTGCTTGTGCTACGATTAGGGTTGATTTGTTTCTGTTGTTTTGAATTTCCTAATTTCTTGGAGGGGGTTGCCAACACTACTGTTATATGTTAAACTTTGAGTAGAGGCTGTCAACTATAGAGGATTGTCAAGTCTAAAAGGTGACAGTAAAGTAAGGAACAAATACTGAGGGGAAAGGCCCAGTATAACATAGTCACTCACTCAGCCCTGCATATATTCGAATTTATAAATGGCGTACATTCCTTAGGGGAAAAAAATGCCAAATGAAACCGAAGTCTGCTTATGGAAAATCACCTGCTGTGGAAATTAGTCATGTTAACTAATGCAAAATAGGCGGGTATGTTCAACAGCTCTTTTCAGACACTGGCCGGGTGGGGAGGTACGGCAGTCTCCGAGGGAGGAAAACAGGCGATTCCCACAGCTGTTCCCTCGGTGCTAGCAGCAGTTTTCCACGCCACACTCAAGGGGAGGGAAATTCCAACGCGACTTCCAAGGAGGGGAGATCCAATGGAGTTACGGGTAGGGTAGCATTTGCAGGGTAGACACCAGGGGGAGTAGCTGTGCAAAAAAGGTGAACGCGTTTGTGGGCCAGCAGGTGGCGTGGTGGTTAAACTGGACTCCCACATGGCCGGCCACGTTCCAGACGTCATGGCTTGCTTTCTCCCCCTCTCTTTCTCTTTCTTTCATGAGTCCACATGCTCTATAGAAAATTTTAAAGTAATAAGTAAAATTAAATGAATATTATTTTTAAAAACCTGAGATTTGAGAAGAGGAATCCTCAAGTTTGTGTGGATAGTAATCTAGGAAGGACTACCAGAAGGGAAGGCTCTACACAGCACTGACATAGTTTCCGCTTTCAGAAAACAAGAAGAGAGAGACGCTGAATCGGATAGGGATTAGGCGGAGTCCACTGAAGGATCACGCCTTAGTAGTAGAAATAAATTATTCCCAGAATTAAAACTGCTCTGGGGGGCCCGCAGGCGGTGTGGTGGTTAAGGGCACTAGACTCCCACATGGCCAATTGTGGTTCAAGTCTTGGACCCTGGTGGCTTGCTTTTTCAGTTCCTCCCCACCCCTGTCCCTCTCTGGTCAAATTAAAATAAATAAATAAATAAAGTTAATACAAATAATTATTTAAAAAAAATTGCTCTGGACCGGCTGTAACTGATTTTTTTTTTTTTTTTTTTTTTTTTTTTAAGAATCATTTTAAGGGACCAGCAGTTAGCGTATGGCTGTGTCGCTGGACTCCCACGTACTTGACCGCAGTTCGCGTCCCGGACCCGGTGGCTTAAAACTCACGCCGGGCACGTGTGCGTGCATGCCCAAGATCCCGAGAGGAGAATGGAGGAGAAGGGATTGCGGCGTGGCCATCCCCCCTGGGGGATGATTTCTCGCTTTCTGTCTCTCTGTCTCTGTCTGTCTGGCGAGCGCACGTTCCCTATAGTGAAAACCTCTAAAAAAAAAAAAATCATTTTAAAAAATGATTTTAAAAACTAATTTATTTTACTTTGCTTATTTATTTATTTTAGTTTGACCAGAGAGAGACAGAGTGAGAGAGAGAAAGAGGGGAAATGAGAAAGCAAGCCACCAGGTCCAGGACTTGAACCACACGCAGTCCACTGTGTGGGAGCCTTTAACCACCATGCCACCTGCCAGCCTCTGACATAATTGAATTTGAAACTTTGGAAGGATCTAACGGATCTACAATTACTGAAAAGTGTGTTAGAAAAAAAAAATTTCAACGTTCCTTAGAGGCATACATCAAAAACCCTCATTCAACAATGCAGAATTTACAGTGTCTGGTATTCGGTACAAAATTAACAGACATGAAAAGATACAGGAAAATAAGACCCATGTCCATGAGAAAAATTAAGCACAAAGAACAGTTCTAGAATGATGGGGATTATAAAATTGGCAGAAAATGACCTTAAAGCAGCTATTAGAAATGTTACAAATATGCTTAAAGATATAAAGAAAAACACAAACAGGATGAGGCCAGAAATAGAAGATGTTTAAAAAGGGCCCAAATGTAACTTCTAGAAGTGAAAAGTGCAATATTTGAAATAAAAAATATAGTAAGTGAGACTCACTACTACAGATCATAGGTGATTAAATGCTAAGAAGACAATGAACTGGACGACTTAATAGACTATCCAATGAAGCATAGAGGAAAAAAGATAAAAAAGTAAACAAAAACCTGAACAGAATCTTGGTAACCTTCGGGAAATACCAAGTGATTTAATATACACATAACTATAGCCCCAGGAGGAAGCGGTAACAAGGCAGGAAAAATATTTGAAGAAATAGTGGCTCAATATTTTTCAAATTTTCCAACACCATAAACCTACAGATAGAGAAAAATCAATGAATTCCAAACATTAAAAACACAAGGACGGAGACCAGCAGTTGGTGTAGTGGCTATGTCACTGGACTCCCATGTAGTCGACTGCGCTTCGAGTCCTGGGCCTGGTGGCTTAAAGCTCACGCTGGGCGCGTGTGCGTGCGTGCCCAAGATCCCAAGAGGAGAATAGAGGAGAAGGGATTGCAGCGTGGTGGGGGCGGTGATTTCTCGCTTTCTTTCTCTGTGTCTCTCTCTGTCTCTCTTTCTGGCGAGCATATGCACCCTGTAGTAAAAACCTCTCAAAACAAAACAAACAACAAAACACAAGGAGAAACCAGAAGATGGCCTAACAGTTACATTGCTGGACTCCCATGTTGTCGACTGCGTTTTGAGTCCCGGACTAGGTGGCTTGAAACTCACGCTGTGTGTGTGCGCGTGTGCCCAAAATCCCAAGGAGAGTGGAGGAGCAGGGATGGGGCGTGGCAACCCCCGGGCAGGGGTAGTGATTTCTCACTTTCTCTCTGTCTCTCTCTGACGAGCACATGCATCCTATAGGAAACATCTCTTTCAGAAATAAAAGGGCACGAGAGAGATGCCAGAGCATCGTCGAATGGCTGAGAGCCAGTCGGAGTGGTCAGACTCACAGCCGTGGAAAGGAGGGTGGTGGGTGCCAGGAAGCCGGGGAGGGGCGCGCGGCAGTGCCCAGACACCGTGCTATGTAGGAAATGCCGTACCACTGGAGTCCCAGTCGTGCGAGATGAGATTTACAGACTGGTGGTGGCAGCGGCCACGCAGTACTGTGGGTGGACTGAACTCACTGACTGTGGGCTTAGAAATCCTTGCCATGTTAAATTCTTTGCTATGTATATTTTACCACAATACAGAAATGGGGAAACCAAATAATTGTCCTAGGCTGTTGTCATAGGGCACGTGTGCTTACTGGAGAGAGACAGAGGGCCAGTGAGAAATCAGCCCCTCCCCAGGAGGCGTGGCCACACTGTGGTCCCCTCTTCTCCGTCTCCCTCCTGGGACCTTGGGCACGAGGCACACGTGCTCAGTGTGACTGTCAGGCCATTAGTTCAGGGCTTGAAACGTGCTCACCACCGCGCCACCTGCTGGCCCTGGAAAGTTAAATTTCTGAATGAAAGTGCTAAACAGAAAAGGCTTGAAAGGAGGAGGATTAAAAGGAAAAAAAAGAAAAAAGCCTTGTTACTAGGCCAGCCCCGTAGTGTATCCAGAATATACTAGGAACTTTTACAACTCAGTAGTAACCTAATTAAACTGTTACTACCGGGGGTGGTAAGTACGTCGGGAACATAGGCGAGTTAGAGTCGCAGCGATGGTCCCCGCCGCCGTCAGAACGCCCGGCGTTAACAGGACGAGCAGACGCTGGCGAGGGGGTGGAACAGTTAGAACCAATACAGGCAACAGTGGATGTGAAATGCGAAGAATTTTCAGAAATGTTATGCTAAGGGGAAAACGCACAAAAGTGTCCATATTATATGATTGTATTTAAGTGGCGTTCTAGGGCCAGCCCATGGACTGGGAGGGTTAATGCAGCCAATCGCACAGGGTCCCCCAAGTTGTGGTTCGAGTACTTGACCCTGTGGCTTAAACACAACAGGTGTGTGTGTGTGTGTGTGTGTGTGTCCGTGTCCAAAATCCCAAAAGGAGGGAGAAATGCAGGAGGAGGGATTGCTGCGTGACCGTGCCCCATGGGGCTGCTGCTCCCCTGCCGACGGCATGTGCCCTCCGGATAAATGTTTTAGAAAGCCCTGCTAGAAGGGCTGTCGTGATGGAAAGCAGGGCAGCGATCGCCAGGCGCCAGGCTGGGAAGTTACACGGAAGGACACGCAGGCCTCTGGAGAGTGATAGGTAGCTCTGTACACTCGGCGCGGTAGTATGCAGCACCATTGTAAACCTTTGCCAAAACTTACAACTGGACACTTAACACTGATGAACTTTTTTGCTGTTGTTGCTTTTGTTTCCCTCTCTCTGTTTCCTTTTCTACAAACTTCTCTACCCTCAGATTGATCTTCCAAGTTTGGGACGAAATCGACCATCCACAAGATGACTAGAAATTGCTGCAGGACCACAAGAAATATGGGGAAGCAGGAAAATACCTCTCCTCCAAGGGAAAAGGATAACTCCTCTTCATCCACACACAGTTCAATGGAAGTCATGGAAATGTCTGATAAAGAATTCAGAACATTCATAATGAGAGGGCCAGTGAGAAATCAGCCCCTCCCCAGGAGGCGTGGCCACACTGTGGTCCCCTCTTCTCCGTCTCCCTCCTGGGACCTTGGGCACGAGGCACACGTGCTCAGTGTGACTGTCAGGCCATTAGTTCAGGGCTTGAAACGTGCTCACCACCGCGCCACCTGCTGGCCCTGGAAAGTTAAATTTCTGAATGAAAGTGCTAAACAGAAAAGGCTTGAAAGGAGGAGGATTAAAAGGAAAAAAAAGAAAAAAGCCTTGTTACTAGGCCAGCCCCGTAGTGTATCCAGAATATACTAGGAACTTTTACAACTCAGTAGTAACCTAATTAAACTGTTACTACCGGGGGTGGTAAGTACGTCGGGAACATAGGCGAGTTAGAGTCGCAGCGATGGTCCCCGCCGCCGTCAGAACGCCCGGCGTTAACAGGACGAGCAGACGCTGGCGAGGGGGTGGAACAGTTAGAACCAATACAGGCAACAGTGGATGTGAAATGCGAAGAATTTTCAGAAATGTTATGCTAAGGGGAAAACGCACAAAAGTGTCCATATTATATGATTGTATTTAAGTGGCGTTCTAGGGCCAGCCCATGGACTGGGAGGGTTAATGCAGCCAATCGCACAGGGTCCCCCAAGTTGTGGTTCGAGTACTTGACCCTGTGGCTTAAACACAACAGGTGTGTGTGTGTGTGTGTGTGTGTGTGTCCGTGTCCAAAATCCCAAAAGGAGGGAGAAATGCAGGAGGAGGGATTGCTGCGTGACCGTGCCCCATGGGGCTGCTGCTCCCCTGCCGACGGCATGTGCCCTCCGGATAAATGTTTTAGAAAGCCCTGCTAGAAGGGCTGTCGTGATGGAAAGCAGGGCAGCGATCGCCAGGCGCCAGGCTGGGAAGTTACACGGAAGGACACGCAGGCCTCTGGAGAGTGATAGGTAGCTCTGTACACTCGGCGCGGTAGTATGCAGCACCATTGTAAACCTTTGCCAAAACTTACAACTGGACACTTAACACTGATGAACTTTTTTGTGTTTAAATTATACCAGTACTATGTTTTTTTTTTTTAAAGACAAAATTCCAATGTAATGTAGTGCTTAATTTAATTTAATTTTAATTTTTTGAGAGTTTTTTTGCTATAGGGCGCATGCACTCTCCAGAAAGACAGAGACAGAGAGAGACAGAGAGACAGAAAGCAAGAAGTCACCCCCCAGAAGGGATGGCCACGCCGCAATCCCTTTTCCTCCATTCTCCTCTTGAGATCTTGGGCATGCACACACACGCTTCTGGCGTGAGTTTTAAGCCACCGGGTCTGGGACTTGAACCACAGTCAACTACATGCGAGTCCAGAAACAGCCATTATGCTAACTTGCTGGTCCCTAGTGCTTAATTTTAAATCACGTAATACTTGTAAATCATGGCTAAATTCTATATTGCTTTCCAGAAATGACTCAAAACAGAGAATAAGTCAGCAGGAGAAACAGCACCTGTACGTTTTATGAGAGGCTAACTCCGAAATGGCTTTGAGAGTGGAAATGAAAGTAGTGAAGCATCCATTTATTAACTACTTTCTAAAACCAACAAACAGAACCCCAAATAGTCTGGATGTGCTTGAATAAAGAGTTTGTAAGCATTTTTAAAAAGCATTTAAAAAATTATACCAGTAAGGCTAACGAAGTTCATCGCACGCTAACACAGTGGACGGCTTCGGGAGCTCCGTGAGCAGTGCCAGCAGGGAGCTCTTACAGAGGGCCTGCCCGGCGGGTCAGTGCGCTTGGGCTGTGGGGTCACAGGATCTCAGCTTGTACCGGTCCTGACAGAGCAGAACCCAACTGCAGTAACAAGAACAACGTGAGGGGCCAACAGGTGGCACAGTGGCTACAGCGCTGGACCCCACATGGCCGACCGTGGTTGAGCCCCGGACCTGGTGGTTTGAAACTCATGCTGGGTACGTGCGTGCGTGCGTCCAGAATCCCAGGAAGAGAACAGAGGAGAAGGGATTGCGACGTGACCATCTCTCGCGTTCTGTCTCTCTGCCTCTAAAGTGAGCACACATACCTTATAGCAAAAATGTTTCTAAAAAATGAAAGTAACCGTATGAAATCATTGCCGGCTAAAACCCCGCCGTCGTTTCTGTGAGTAATCGAGAGGCGAGGCAAAGAGGGAGAAAGGAGTTTATTTAGCATGTTCGAGCACCAGCACTGGACAGCACAAAGCCCAGGACAGAAATTTCCAGCACGTATCCGCGGTCACACCCCTCGCTTACCCTCTATAACACAGACGTGGCTGGCTCCGCGCTGCACCCACCCCCTGCTTTCCCGGCATCGTCTGTGCGTCTTCTCCTTTCATACGACATTTACGACCCGGTTTATGTTCTACGGCGACACTGAATCTGTTAACTCAGACCTGCGGCTTACATTGATAGATTAAGGGACACTACAACATCTTTTCTTTATACTTTTTGTGTGTGTGTGTGGTTTTGCCATAGGACATGTGTGCTTGCTGGAGAAAGAGACCGAGACAGTGAGAGGGAAAGTGAGAAATCACCCCCAGTGGGGATGGCCACACCCCAATCCCTCCTCCCTTCTTTCTTTTTTTTTTTTTTTTTTTTTTTTTTTTAGGGGTTTTTTTTTTTTGAGAGGTTTTTGCTATGAGGTGCGTGTGCTTGCTAGAAAGAGAGAGACAGAAAGCAAGAAATCACCCCCCGGGGGGGATGGCCATGCTGCAATCCCTTCTCTTCCATTCTCCTCTCGGGATCTTGGGCATGCATGCACATGCTCCTGGAGTGAGGTTTAAGCCACCGGGTCCGGGACTCGAACCACGGTCAGCTAATGGGAGTTCAGCAACATAGCCATTACACTAACTGCTGGTCCTCCTCTCCCATTTCTCACCTAGGATTTTGAGTGCTTACTCATGTGCTCAAAGGTCTGGAACCAGTTGACCATGTGGGTGTCTAGCATCCCAACCACCATGCCACCTGCTGGGCCTTTAAACTACACTGTGTAACAAAGCAGTCTAAACACCTGTGAATAACTGTTATGGTAACACTCACACAGTTTTCCCATTTAACCTGTTACACTGTGTCCCTTGAGTAAACATTCTCACCTCTTAAGATTTCTGGCCTGAGACCCGGACATTGTATTTTTTGATCATTGTCTAAAATAAGTGGCTTAAGTTTCCTCTTCTAAGCAAACAGGCTTATATGACCTTATTTGCTGTAATAGTTACAGATTACATTAGTTACAGAAGCTAAAAGCACCAGTTAACCTTTAAAGTATAAGAAAGAGGAATAAAGTAAAGGAAAAACAAAGGATGTTGGGGCCAGCTGGTAGTCTGGTGGTTAAGGCACTGGGATGCCCATGGGGCCAACTGTGGTTCAAGTCCCAGACCCGGTGACTTGTTTTTAACTTTCTCTCTCTCTCTGGTGACCACATATGCCTTGTAGCAAATGAAAATAATAATAATAAATAAAATTAAATAATAGTTTAAGAAAAAAAGTTTAAAAATTGTTTGTTTGTTTCCCATTATGAAGTGATCCGTACAGACCCTGTATTTTCTGTTTCAGGTGCTTAGAAGAACATGTAGTTCTCATCAGACAAATGGCACCTATCACAGACGCTCGCTGACATGGAGCACTCTGCACAGAGAAACAGGCACCTTACCCAGCACCCCACCCAGCACCCCAGCTATGCCTACAAAGTCCAGAAAGGTCCAGTGAATTAGATCACTTGTGTCTGTGTGGGGAGAGAGCACCTGGCAGGCTCATTTAATACCTAAGAGCAAGTTGGGGGATATGGTATTGGGTTCTCCGGAAAGTCAGGACACATTCTTGCATAGCAAAACAGAAAAATAGCCCCTTACTTTCCTGAAGACCTAAGGAATCCTTGATTATATTCACAAGGCCACCCTTAAGGCATAGCAGGAAGATTGCTTTAAGGTCTCTGCGATAATTGGGAAGAAAGTGTGAGAACGAGAGAGGAAGGAGGAAGTCTCTTTAACAACAACAAAAAGCAGACTTGTTATTTCCAGGTATATGGCAAGAATCTCAGTCCTGGGTCCAGCAGTTAGCATAATAGCTGTGTCGTTGGACTCTCATATAGTCAATTGTGGTTCAAGTCCCAGACCTGGTGGCTTAAACTCAACGCTGGGTGCATGTGCGTGCGTGCCCAAGATCCCAAGAGGAGAATGGAGGAGAAGGGATTGCGGCGTGACCATCTCCCGGGGGATGGTTTCTCACTTTCTGTCTCTCTGTCTCTCTCAGTCTTTACATTTAGATGTATATGACGTATGATTTTCTTTATCTCCTAAAGCTCAGGGTAACTTCTGACTCTAAGTCCCCATTCTGCTGCGTCCATGGGAGGTGTAACTCCACCCACCTTTGGCACAAATCTGTCTCCTCATAGTTGCTTCAAGTCGGGATTTTCTCACAGAGGCCCTGAGATGGGAGGAGGCTGGGCAGAGGAGGGAGGAGTACTCAGGTCTTTGGGGCACCACCACACAGGTGGGATGTCTGGTTTTGCCAGTCCGTGCTAACTCGGGGCCATACCTGGTGTTTGGGAATCATTGCTAAGGCCAGAAACCTCATTTTAAAATCCTCCCAGTCTACCACGTTTTTTTGGTGGGGCTGGTGAGCTATTTTACCTTCCTGCTGGGCTTCTGGGATGGCTACTGCTTCTCGGACCCAGATGGGCCTCTGTCTCCTTCCCATCCTCTGCTTTTGCACTTTCTTTTCTTCTTTTCTTCTCTTTCCTTTCTTTTCTTTTCTTTCTTTCTTTTTTTTTTAAAAATATTTCTATAAATTGAGCAATGATACGTGTGTATTCAGGAAAAGCACACATTGTAAGTGTAAAACTTAGTGAATATTCACAAGGAAAACACGACCTCTGGAATCACTCCCAGGCCGAGACGAGGTCAGCAGCGTCCCAGGAGCCTCACCTCGCCCCCTCCCAGCGAGCCCCCCACTCTGCGGAAGCCCACACGCCAGGCTCCCCTGCTCCAGCTGTAGGCCTCCTGACCTTGGCGTCAGTTCCAACCCTCAGTCCGAACTGTCGTCTCTCTGACCGTTCTGCTTTCCCTCGTGTCTGAGGGGTGTCACTTCACGTTGCTTCATGACGCTTCCCTGACCTGTCATCCTATTACTCGTTTTAAGTCCTGCACTTTACTCGTGCACTCGGCTATCGAAGGGCACGTGGGTGGTCTCGTTTGGGGCTGTTATACTGAAAGCAGCCGTGACTGTTTGGGAACACGTCTTTCGGGACACACGCCTGTGCTTGGTGCCTAGCGAGAGGTGGAACCCCGGGCCACAGGGTGTGCTGCCGCCGAGCAACGTGCCCGAGCCGCAGCTGCTCCAGGCCCTCACCAACACTTTCAGACCATAGTAGTTTCACTCTGCTTTGCTCTCTGATCAGTGGGAGTGATTACTTTTTAAAACATTCTTTAGAATTATTTTATTATTATCATTTTTCAATTTGACCAGAAAGAGACAAAGAGAGAGAGGGAAGGTGACAAAGCCAGCTACCATGAACCGTGGTCGACCATGTGGGAGTCCAGTGCCTCAGCCTCCATGCCACCTGCTGGCCCCGAGATGGATTGCTTCTTCTTGGAATATTTATTATCCCAGAGGTGTATGTGCAGACATGAGAGAGAGTGAGACAGAGATAAAGAACACATGCACGGGAGGGAAGAGAGGGAAGGAAGGATGGACAGACAGAAGGCAGCTCCCTTCTCCTCCTGGAATTTTGGGCACCTTCCTGTTACAGGCACTCTTTTTTTTTTTTTTTTTTTTTTTTAGAGGTTTTTGCTATAGGTCACGTGCACTCGCCAGACAGAGACAGAGAGAAAGAAAGCGAGAAATCACCCCGGGGCGGGGGGAGGTGATGGCCATGCCGCAGTCCCTTCTCCTCCATTCTCTCGGGATCTTGGGCACACACGCACACACGCACGGCGGTTACATGCACTTTTGCGGGGACTAACCCTCCTCATGAGAGCTAGTGTTCGCCCCATCTTGCAAGACGGCGTAATCCATCCTGAGTGCTGTCTCTGTCATCCACACGCCACCACCAGCCCTCACCTCCAAGAGATCTTACCACAGGCCAGCAGGTGGCATGGCGTTAGGGTGCCAGATTCCTGCACCGCTCACCACGGTTCAAGTCCTGGACCTAGTGGCTTGAAAACCAAAACAAATAAATAGATAAACAAACAAATAAGTGTTAAAAAAAATGTCACCATCTAGTGCCAATTACGCCAGGGGCTAAATTCCAAAACAAGAATCTTTTGGGGACATACTGTTATCTAAACCATAGCAAGATGGGAGGTAAACAACTTAGGAAAATAGTTTGGCAGTTTCTTAAAAAGTTAAGCATAGGATCTAACTGTTCGACTCCTAGCTATTTATCCAAGAGAAATGAAGGCTTGCAGCCATCAAAGACTTGTGATAGAATGCTTACCGCACTTCCATTTGTAATGGCCCTAAACTCGCAACAGCCCCAACGGCTATCAACCGTGGGTGGCTAGCTGTCACTTTACGGGCGGACTCGCTGTGCCGTTACGAGCAGTGGAGGCGCACAGACAATGCGAGGTAGTTAGGCCGAGGGAGAAGCCAGCCGGGGCAGCACGGGCTGTGACTCCACCCCGCACCTACCGTGATCGCAGGCCGCGTCCTTGCTGGCGTGCCAACGTGGTGAATTACTGGTTTCCGAGTGTTAAACCATCCTCGCATTACAGTGACACACCCCACTTGGTCATGACATACAGGTCAAAAGGTTCATGGAAAATGTGTATTAGGAGAAAACTGGATTTCATTTTTTTTTTTTTTGCACCAAAATAAACTTATGCTTGGGCCAGCCCGTAGTACGACAGTTAAAGCTGTGTGGGGGCCAGCAAGTGGCGTGGTGCTTAAATCCCTGGACTCCCACTTGGCCAGCCATGGTTCGAGTCCCAGCCTGGGCGGCTTGAAACGCAGGGCACGTGTGCATGAATGCCCAAAATCCTAGGAGGAGAATGGAGGACGAGGGATTGAGGCATGGCCGTCCCCCTCCTGGGGTAGGGGTAGAGGGCTGTTTCTCAGTTTCTCTGGCTCTCTTGGGTGGGAGCATGTGCCTATGGCAAAAATCTTAACAAAACAGAGTAAACTCATACTGCAATTCCACTTCTCTGTGAACCTTCTGAAGCCCCGTGTAGTATCTTTTTTCTATTTTATTGGACTTGGTTTGCTAACAGTGCGCCATGGACTCCCACGTGATGTTTACCAGGCTGTTGATCTCTAATGACCTCCTTCCCCTTGTAATTCCTCTGGTTTTTGTATCAGTCATGTTGACCTCAGAGGAGGAGTTGAAAAACACCTTTTCCCCAGGGATAGCCTGTACAGAAGTGATAGGCGAAATGATCTATAAATGTCAGGTCAAGTTAGGTAAAATACTGTTCAAGTCTTAGATATCAGTACTGACCTGTCTATTCGAAATATCGAGGGCGGGATGCTCAGATCTCTGACTGTAATTGTGGAATTTCTCTTCCTTACAGTTCTGTCAATTTTTGCTTCTTATACGACAGCATTTCGTATCATTTTCTCTTAAATTAACCCCTCATGTCCTCATTATAAAATGACTGTCTATTGCAGGTAATATTTTTTGCTCTGATGTCTGCTTTGTCCATTATTAATATTGTTTCCCTTTTTTTTTTTTTTAAAAAAAAAAAGTTATTTATTTGTTGTGATTTGGGGCTGCCGAATCTGGGACTTGAACCCTAGCTCACTACATGGGAGTCTAGTGTTTCACCCGCCATGCTACCTGCCAGCCCCGCCAGCTTCCTTTTGGTTAGTGTTAGCATAGTATGTCTTTCCCTGTTCTTTTACTTAATTTTCTTATTATTTTTTAAAAGAGATTTTTGCTATAGGGTGTGTGTGCTTACCAGAGAGACAGAGAGAGAGACACTGAGAAATCACCCCCTGGGGGATGGCCACACAGCAGTCTTCTCCCCCATTCTCCTCTCGGGATCTTGGGCCCGGTGTGAGTTTAAGCCTCTGGGTTGGAGACTCGAACTGCAGTCGACTACGTGGGAGTCCAGCGGCGTAGCCGCTACGCCCTCTGCTGGTCCCTCTTACTTTATTAGTGTGTAAGTTTATAGCTGTCATTTTGCTCTTTGCTCTCTACTCGTTGAGCTTTTGTGTGCTTCCAATTTCTCTCTTCTGGCCTCTTCCACCCAGGCATACACCTCCTCTCTGAGGGGGTGGGGGCGAGGTAGTTTGTCGCTGGACATGGCCCTCAGAGCCGGGCAGGGAAGCCACACACACGGTCAGGTCATCAGGAGCGTGTCGACGGCCTAGGCAGGCCAGACCACATGGAGGGATCCTACCTGGGAGGTTGCCGGTTTGAGCCCAGACACCTCCCTGAGCCTGCCTGTGTCATAGCACCTGTGGGGTGCTCCCTCCCTCCGCTCTCTGTCTCTCTCTCTTGGAAGACAGAGAGAGGGAGGGACAGAGAGGAAGGGGGGGGGAAGAAACCTTAAAGAAAAGGCCCACCGCTCACATAACGAGGCTTCCTAGGAGAGCTGGACAGGCTTCCTAAGCGGGTCCAGAACAGCCCAGAGCCGGGAAAGACGGAGCGGGTTTCCTTTGGGGAGGAGGTGGGTCTGCAGCCAGGGCTGGTGCCCGCATGGTTTCAACTTCCCGCTGGCACCACCAGGGGGAGCACCAGGCCTTTCTCATCAGCCTGTCCCGTCAGCGCAGAGGGAAGAGGGAGGTGAGGCTATGTGCTGGCCTCCCACATGCTGCCCGCGGTTTCCGCCCTGGACCTGGTGCCTTGAACATCATGCCAGGCGGGTGTGCCCAGAATCCAGGGGGGAATGGAAGAGCAGGGGCTGTGGTGTGGCCATCCTGGGGGTCACTTCTCACCTTCCTTCTCCCTCTCTCTGGCGAGCTAGCCACTGGCAAAAACCTTTAAAAAAAAGAAAAAGAAAAAAGAGAAAAAAGGAAAAGCTGTGAGCCGCCAGACGCGGAAACGTGGAGTCAGGTGCCGTGACCGTGGTGGTCGGTCTCCCACACCCCTGTACATTCCACAGCACAGCCCGGGCATGTTCTCAGCAGGACGCCCCCTGCCCCCCCACCGTGTGGCCACTGTGGGCAGAAACCTACTGCGGGCGTGGGCGCAGCGCCTGCCGGGCCGCGGGAGCAAGCCCCACCTGCTCTCCCAGTCTGCATCTTCGAGTGCTTTGCTCATGGCTCACCTGACCAAGGGGCAGTGAGGACGCTGGCTCTGTCCCCTGCCCTTGTCCCTGTCCAGGCTGCCCTCAGAGCAGTTTTCATGGGGCCTTCCTGATGGCCGGTGTTTCCCTCCTCCCGCCATCCTGCCTTTTTGCTGGGCAGTCCACTTGGGTGCGCGTTATGTGAGCAAGTCTCACCCGTGTGAGGACTAGAGACGGGAGGACTCAGGACAGACCCAGAGGGAAATAGGGGATACTTTTCAAAAATCTAGTTTCAGGGACCAGCACTTGGCGTGGTGGTTACGTTGCTAGACCCCCACGTAGTTCACTGTGGTTCAGGACCCAGACATGGCGGCTTAAAAATCAAAACCCAGGCTGGGTGAGTGTGCGTGCATGCCCAAGATCCCGAGAGGAGAATGGAGGAGAAGGGATTGCGGCGTGGCCATCCCCCCTGGGGGGTGATTTCTCGCTGTCTGTCTTTTTCTGTCATGTGCCCTGTAGCAAAAGTCTCCCTTAAAAAATCCAATTTTACGTTTATCTCATGGCAAACCAAGTGTCTCTTTTATTCTATTTAAAATAAAACCTCAATATTCATCTCTGCCTTTGTGCTTATCGGTCTGTGTAATTTCTCTTTTATTTTTGTTGTTTAGGTTTCACTGCTGCATATCCAACACAATCTTCTATTCCTTTTAAATATCAGCCTGCAGGAATCCCAGAATCAGAAAAGAAAGGATTCAATAGTCAAACCAAGAGATTTTATCACAAAAAGGTAATAATGACATCTGAGAGGTTCTTTGCATTTTCACCTCAGCGGCGGCGTGTCCCTGTGGACAGTAGAGGGCAGTGTTGTCCAGGAGCCAGATCATCTCTCTACAAAGGGCCTTAAAGAGCTTGGGAAAGATGAAACTCAGAGGGAAGCATCCACGGTACCAAAAATACCAAACTGGACAAAAAATAGTTTTTTTAAAAGAAAAAGCTAGACTTTCAAAATTATTCAAAAAAATCTCATTGTATCAAGTAAAAGGCTGGCCCCACCACCCACACTTTTCGTAAGAGAAGAAATCACAGGCTTTTTTCCAAATAACTTTAAGGGATGACTCTAAGACACTTAAAAGTACCTCTGCAAGGAGGCCCAGCCCCTGCCTGAACTTCCTGAACTGCGTATTCTTACCGTTCCGTATTCCGCTGTGTCTCTTTCCTTGGGATTTCTGGGACCTGACCTCGCCTTTCGCCAGCAGGGGGCGGGAGCAACTCAGCATCCTCAGTCTCCAGTCTTCACTCCTTCCCTTAAGCAAGACCTTGAGGACCACATTCTTGTGGAGCAGTCGCCATCCCAGTTACCTTTCACAGCATTCCAGAAATGGTTTGGATCCTGTCACCTCGCCTCGGTGGCGGTGGCACGAACAGGAGGTGGAGGTTCTGAGTGTGGGCAAGGCACGGGCTGAGGGCTTTGGCAAGCCCTCTGCCCCAGGCCCGATGCCTTCTTTGTGAGTAAGAACATTGAGCTAGGGAATGGTTTAAGTTCCTTCTGTGCTGATAGTTTAGTTTTCTTTTTTTTTGTTTGTTTGCTTAGATTTTTACCATAGGGCATGTGTTTCCAGAG